TTAACTTGTTTTACAACATGTGAGTATGTTGTTTACCTGATTAAGAGCTTAATAAGTTATGATGAACTTTGATGATATTTAGTGTTATCGTATATTGTGACTGCTTGCCTGTGTTGTAAGCGTGATATAAATGATTTTCAGAATGTTCTACGTGTTGATCATAATATATGTATGGAAGCATGCAGTAACTGTGAGTCTGTTATGCATGTTAATGGAAAGGTTATAATTCTAGATATGCTTATTGGTGGTTGAGCTATGGCTTATTTACTGAGTATGATAGTCTACTAATTCCCGCGGAGTTCCTGGCCAACGCGCTGTGTGCTAAGTCAGGGAGCATGAGTACTCCTGACCGTTGGTATATGAGATAAACAGGCCGCCAGAGCAATTAGTAGACGGGCCGTATTTGACCGAGAGCGAGTCTTACATACGAGTCCGAAAATTCTAGATAAGCATATCGAGAGAGAGTCAGTAACCTAGCTGGAGGTAGCTGAGATACCTCATTAACGAACAGATGACCCTAGTAAGAGAACTAGGAGTCAGTGATGAATAAAACGTAAAAACACCTGGAAAGATTAGTTATGAACCTGTGAATGATAAACTAGCTACTTACTGAGTAATCTAATTACTCATCAGAATTATTATAACTTTTCTTTCCAGATGTAGATGCTGCAGGTCAGCCGAGGACGAGACCAGCGGGCTAGAGGCTACTGGAAATCCATGTCTGGGTCTGTTCTGTAATTATGTTTCCGTTGTCAAGAATTTACCTTAGTCGTTTTAAGTTTTTTGTAAAGTACTGTTTTTCTTTTATAGAAATACTTTACTGGATGTTTTCAGAAATATTTTTAATTTTATGATTGGGTATCAGAGTCTCTTAATATTGTCGATAGTAACTCCTGTTAATCGCGTTGGCGATGAGCGGGCGTTACAAATATATAATTAATTGAAAATTTAACTGAAAAATACTCCAATATTGACAACTCAAATTTAATATTGAGACTATATATATATATATATATATATATATTTTCAAAAGAAGAGATGGTTTTGGGAATTGGGTACGAGGCTCTCGCTTCGTCTAGTAGCACGAGATTTGTATTGCTCTCTTGCAACTTCATTTTCACAGTTAGGCTTTTTCGATCATATCACTTGCAATTACGAGAATTACTTTTGCTTTCTTCTCGTCTAGCTACTAAGATGTTCCATTCATTGAGCCGTCTGTTGCATGAATTCTATAGCAATCTGAAGGAAAGTTGACTAGAAATTCATTAATATATATGTTTAACACAACTTTACATGGGAAGCACTCACACACTTTATTAAGACAAATCGAGAAGAGATTTACAGAACACTCAGCAGAAACTATAGTTTGTATTGCTTGAGATTTCTTGTGATTATAAACTAAGTAGGGTGGAGGGGTATTTATACGGATAGTAATCAATTCCTAAAATTTCTAACCTCTCTACTAAACTATCTAAATCATTTTCCTAAATTTATTCCTAAAATCTTAAATCATTTTCTTAACATAAATATAGTCACTCATACAATGGTTCGGCTTAACCATATTAGGCTATGGATGATATTTTAACTATATATATATATATGACTCGTTTAAAAATATTAAGTTAAAATTGGTGATATTTTGTTTATTCTTTTATTATTTTTATAATATAATAGAAATATCAATTCACTCTTTAAGTTGATATTGAACACGTGAATATATAATAATAATAATAATAAATAAATTCAATATCTCGATAGAGAATGAACGAATGAAAAAATTAACACGATTTTTTTTAGTTTAATAACGTGTGGATGAGAATATTTAATATATATATATATATATGTGGAGAGGTCACATAAGTGGTTTTATTTTATTATTATTAATTAGAAAAAGATTTGGCATTGGGATGGTTGGTCGGTAAAGTAAGGTCAAATTCTTTGAATTTCTAATTTATTGTCATCAAGAAATTCTCTGTGTTGACCATATAAAATATAATTTTCAAGTTTGTCTATTAATTGGAAATTTTAAATTTTTTTGTGTTATTTAAAAAGTTCATATTAATGGTAACTAGATATTTCGTTGCTTTTTGACTTTCATGCCAGCCGATATTTAAGAAATATATGTTATTGATATTATGCCACGTAAGCATTTTTTTTGGTAAGAAGATATTTAACTGTGATTTTATATTTTTTTATACCAAATTTTAATTTAGGTTTAATTTTTGCCAAATAAATCGCTGAACGTTAAAATATTTTAAATATATTCGTCAATTTTTTATTTTGTGTCTCGAAGAAAAAAAAAATGTCAATTAGCCTAACAATATTTAATTTTCTATTTAATAAATTTCTATTTTTATATTAATAGGTAATTAACTACATTTCTTTTTTAAAAAAATTTAAACTCAATCCAATTATTTAATTTATAAAATTTTGAGTCTAAATAATTTTTATTAAATAATAAATTTAATTTATGGGTGCACTACTTATTTAATCAATTTTTTTTTCAAGTTTAAAATTATTTTTAAGAGGAGGGGAGGAATAAATAATAAAAAATAATTATAAAATTAAATAAATTATTATATATATATATATGTGGAATACAATCTAATCTAATTTTAAAAAATTCTATAAAACAATTTAATCTATACATTTTTTTAATTTATTTGAATCCAAAGTTTTAAACAAGGAGAAACAGCTAATATGTAAACGAAATTTTGAGGAAGTACAAGATGAAAAATTGCAACCCGGTATCAACACCAATGAAACCAGGTGCAAAGCTCTCAAAGTACGATGAAGAAGAACGAGTAGATGCAAATAGATACCGAAGAGTGGGAAGCCTTCGCTATATTACATGCACAAGGCCAGATCTTTCATTAAGTGTCGGCATAATAAGCCGGTTCATGGAAGAGCCAATTTATTCACATTGGAAGACGTTGAAGCGAGTCCTACGCTACGTCAAAGAACAGAAGATTACAAGTCAGTTGGTTACTCTGACAGTGATTGGTGCGGAGACATTAGACGATCGAAAAAGTACATCGGGTTATTCGAGTTTGAGTTTTTTGAACCGCCCTATTTTTGTTTGAAAATTTTCAAATATTTTGGTTTATAATATTAAATTGATTTTTGATAAATTTATAAAGTATTTAATTTTTGCCTCCAAAATGTTGAAAATTAACATTATTTAGAAAAGTAATTGTTAATTTTTAACCTAATTTCAATTGTATTATCACTAATCCCAAATTAATAAGCCTAATTAACCTTAAATTGGGCGGTTAAAACATGCGGCTTTTCAGAATGGGGAAAAATGTGTTATGTCGATGGGGCGTTTTAAATTTGGTCTGAATCGCCGCCATTACTTGTTACCTTCAACGACCATTATAAATTATTGTTTTTTATTATTTATTTATTATTTATTATTTATTATTTATTATTTATTATTGGTGGAACAATTGTTGTTGTTTTTCTTTGAAACTCGATGGAGAAGAAGAAGAAAACAGAGGAAATCAAAGTAAGTCGTTCCAGTTCTATCCTTCTTCCTTTCTACAAACGACGTCGTTTTTCGTTAATGTGGGTTCTTCTTGAATTTAGCCATTAACTGTAGAGTTCAAGGTCTCAATGCATTGTAAAGCGTGCGAAAGAACGGTGGCCAAAGCCATTTCCAAATTCAAAGGTAAAATCTCTTCCAAATAAAAATTAATTAATTATTTTTTCTATAGAAAAATTAAATTTTTTATAAGTTTGATTCAAATTTGAATTTTATGTTTTAAGAAAAACATTTATTTGTGTGAGTAAATTTATTAATTTTTAAATATTTGAAAATTCAAGAAGGTATAATTTTGAAAGTTTATGGACTAAATAGAAACAAACTTCAAAATTTACGGACTAAATTTACAATTTAATTAAAAATAAGTGATCAGTGAAACTCTGAACATTTATTTTTGTATCTATTAAATCTTTAAATTTTAAAATGTTTGAATATTACTAAACATATAATTTTGAAAGTTTATGAACTAAATAAGCAAAATCTCCTGAATTTAGAGACTAAATTTGTAATTTAATTAAAAAAAAGTGATAAATAAAACTCTAAATATTTATTTTTATGTCTATTAGAACTACCGTTTGTAAAATATTTAAAAATTTAGAGGTTAAATATGTAATTTTGAACGAAGTATAGTAATTTAACATAAACAAAAGTGTTTTTTTTAATAATTTTAATTTCCATTTGTTTTGTTTGATAATTATGGTGATTCATGATAACGTTGAAGGGGTGGAGAAGTTCATGACAGACATGGGAAAGCACAAGGTTGTAGTGATGGGCAAGTTTGATCCTCAAAAAGTTATGAAGAAACTACGAAAGAAGACGAGGAAACCGGTTGAGCTGGTGGTCGAGAAGGGCGCAACGGCGAAAGAAGCAGCTGTTGCCAAGGATCCCGAACGATCGGACCCGAATAATAGCAATCAGTTGATGATGTTCAACTGTTGCAAGGAGAGTGCTCAGTTACTCGTTTTGTTCAGCGATGAGAATCCAAATGCTTGTTGCATTATGTAGAGAGAATAACTTTTTCCTTTTCCGGTTATATATTATCAAAACCGTTGTTGTCTATTCGTTTTTAGCTTGTAACGTTGCTTTCTTTCAAATAGTTTTCAACGTATTTCCTTGCTCACGTTTTTTAAAACATTTCTCTCAAACGTGACTCGAAACTCGAGCATACGTCGACGTTATTCGCAAAGTCAACTCCTTCAAAACTGGCGATAGAGGATAGTATAGTTTTGTTATCTAGACATAATACCGAAAGTTTTGATAAAATATGGGCGTTGAATCCTAAGAATGGTAAGGGGTCAGGGTCGGACGGGGTCGGGGTCGGTCAGCAGGAAAGTTAAGAATCTTGCATTGAAGCATAAGCCTTCTAGCCTTGTATAAGAAGTATTTGTTTATATAGCCTAGACTGATAATGTATAGTTAAACATATATGTAAATATGACCGAACTAGATATGTGATTTTCGGATTTGTACATTACATCGAAGTGGGAGCGCCACGACTCATCGTAAAGTTCTCTTCTATGACATGATCTCAAGAGCTTCCCTGGTTTGTCCAAGCATATTGAATACGGTAGCAGCAATATGAGATGGAGTAAGGCCTGCTTCAGCCAGTTGATCGGCTGGTGATCCGTGGTCGATGTATCGGTCGGGGAGGACTAGTGGTCTCCACTGCAAGTGTTAGTTATATGGAGTGGCTAGATTAGTGAACTTCATAACAATATCTTAAAGCAGAGATTTGACATGGTTTGTACGAGACTTGTACCTTCAAGGTGCCATCAAGGAGGCCATCGAGTGCCAGGAACTGGATGACATGAGAGCCGAATCCCCCTATGGATCCTTCTTCCACTGTGATTAAAATCTCGTGCGATTTAGCGAGATTTCGGATAAGGGCTCGGTCGAGTGGCTTGCAGAAACGTCCGTCTGCTACGGTTATTTGTAAGCCATGGCGTTCGAGCATCGATGCAGCAGCCAAACAGTTTTGAACTGCTGTTCCGTAGCCCAACAGAGCCACTCTTTCCCCTTCTAGTAAAATCCTTCCTTTCCCAACCTGTTAAAGAATTGTTTTTTTAGATTGCTAGCATGATAAAAGGTTGTACATCAGCTCAAGTTCAAGCCCATTGCTAGCAGATAGTGTCCTTTTTGGATTTCTCCACAAGGTTTTAAAACTCATCTGCTAGAAAGAGGCTTTCACACCCTTATAAGGAATGTTTTGTTCCCCTCTCCAACCGACGTGGGAACTCACAATCCACCCCCCCCCTCCTTGGGGGCCCAATGACCTTGCTAGCACACCGCCCGATGTCTAGCTCTGATACCATTTATAACAGCCTAAGCCCACTGCTAGCAGATATTGTCTTTTTCAGACTATACCTTCTGGGCTTCCCCTCAAGGTTTTAAAATGTATCTACTAAGAAGAGGTTTTCACACTCTTATAAAAAATGTTTCGTTCCCCTCTCCAACCGATTTGGGATATCACACAGGCAACAACCTTAAGATTTTGTGAAAAGTACCTCAATAGGAATGCCTTTATTCCCTGGTGGCAGCTCGACGCCAATACCATTACCTCGTGGATACCGCAAACAACTAGGTCGGTCATCTATGGCTGCAGCTGTAGCGACCATGTTAAAGAGCTCGGCCTCATCCGACGGGGCCATCACCACCATGTTAGGCAGGCAGGCCATAAATGTAACATCGAACGAACCACAATGAGTCGGGCCATCGGCTCCAACCAAGCCTGCTCTATCCATTGCAAATCTAACAGGCAACTTTTGCAAATCAACATCATGAACAACCTGCAATTCAAACACAAACAAACTTATTAGCAACCCCATGCTAATGGAGTATCAAAGATAGACAGAAAGCCAATGCTTGCCTGGTCGTACGCTCGTTGCATGAACGACGAATAGATCGCACAGAACGGTTTAAGGCCTTCACAGGCTAGACCAGCAGCAAATGTAACAGCATGCTGTTCAGCAATACCAACATCAAAGCATCTTGTGGGAAAACGTCTTTGGAAGAGATTTAAACCTGTGCCTCCTCCCATTGCAGCATGGATTGCAATAATATCTTTGTCATTTTCAGCTTCTGCTATCAATGCTTCTGCGAAGTACGTCGTATACGACTGCGTCGCAGCCTTCGATTTCTGCTGTTTCCCAGTTGCTGGATCGAACTTTGTGACTCCTGTAAAGCTACAATTGTAAGTCGTAACCCAATTTCCGAAACGATGCGAACGACGGAACAATGATCATCGTTCCTGAATCTTTTACTTACCATGGTACTTATCAGCAGCTTTTTCAGCATATGGATAGCCTCGTCCTTTCTCAGTGACAACATGGATGAGGACTGGACCGGTGGTTTTAGTACTCTTAACTTCCTTGAGAATGGAAACAAGATCATCCATGTTATGACCATCAACAGGGCCGATATAATAGAGCCCAAGCTCTTCAAACAACGTTGAGCCAGAACCACTGATCATCCCACGAGCATATTCATCAACTTTTGCTGCTAATTCATGCATTGGGCCACCAATTTGTTTCGTGACACCCTGAAACAACGTTGGAAAAAAGGAAAAGTGAACTCGAGCTCATTCAGATTGAAGGATCAAGGCGGGATGGTTCCGTTCGGTTTGGTTTGGTTTGGTTTCGTTCGCTATTTCTTACCTTGGCTACCTCTCTCAATTCTCTGAGAGGCCTGTTTGACTGCAGCCTGCTGAGAGCACTGCTCAAAGCTCCGACGGGCGGTACCGGCCCGTCGAGAGTTGCAGTCGGTAAAGAGACTTGTTTGTTGTCATTAAGAATAACAATCATGTCGGAGTCGAGGTAGCCTGCATTGTTCATGGCTTCATAAGCTTGCCCTGCAGTCATGGCACCATCACCTATAACTGCAACTACATTGTTCTTTCTTCCCTTGAGATCCCTTCCCACAGCCATTCCTGTTGAGTTACAACATAGAAGTTGCTGAGAAACTTCTTGGTGAAGTTCAATGTTTGTGAGCGGTCATCATAAATATTTTGAAATCTTAGTTAAGTTTCGAAAAATAAGAGTTTGAGAAAGAATCTTTTTTTAGTTTTTTATGATTTTGTTTGATTTGATTTAATTTTTTGAAACTTGCCCAAAAAAAAAAAACACAACTCCCAAATTGCAAAAGGAAATGAAAATCTCAGATAGATAGTATGTAACAGCCCAAGCCTACCGTGAGTAGATATTGTCTTCTTTGAACTTTTCCTTTTGGGCTTCCCCTCATGGTTCTAAAACGCATTTACTATGGAGAGGTTTCCACACACTTATAAGGAATGTTTTGTTCCCCTCTTTGATCAATGTGTGATCTCACAATCCAACCTCTTTGGGGGCCAGCGTTCTCACTGGCAGACCGTCCGGTGTCTGCCTCTGATACCATTTGTAACAGTTGAAACCCACCGCTAGCAGATATTTGTCCTCTTTGAGTTTTTCTTTTCGAGTTTCCCCTCAAAGTTTTAAAACGCGTCTACTATGGAGAGGTTTCCACACACTTATAAGGAATGCTTCGTTCCCCTCTCTCCAACCAATGTGGGATCTCACAATCCCCCCTTGGTGGCCAGCGTCCTCACTGGCACACCGTCCGGTGTCTGCCTCTGATACCATTTGTAAAAGCTCAGGTCCACTGTTAGCAGATATTGTCCTATTTAAGTTTTCCCTTCTGGGCTTCCCCTCAAAATTTTAAAACGTGTCTGCTAAAGAGAAGTTTCCATACTCTTATAAAAAATGTTTCGTTCTCCTCTCCCATCAACGTGGATCTCACACAGTGGATCAGATTATGTTCTGATCTTATCACTTTCACACAAAACCATACTTTTTCAGCTCTCAGTTGGAGTTTAAAAGCAAATTACCTAAGCCTGCTGAGATGGTGGTAGAGCTGTGTCCTGCGCCAAAGCAATCGAATTCACTCTCCGACCGCTTCGTGAAACCTGACAACCCGTTTGTCTGTCTAATAGTAGACATCTTATCCCTCCTTCCAGTAAGAATTTTATGTGGATACGACTGCAATCGCCACACAATTCAAAGCATATTAAAACAAAAACATTTCCCAACATAGCAAGCAAGAGAGTGTGCAAGAAGAATTGGCACCTGATGACCAACGTCCCACAAAATCCTGTCCTGTGGGGCATTGAAGACATAGTGAAGAGCTACCGTGAGCTCCACCACGCCAAGGCTAGAACCCAAGTGACCGCCAGTTTTAGAAACGTTGAAGATCACATCAGATCTTACTTCATCAGCTAGTTGATAAAGCTCCTAAATCAACAATACCCCAAGAAGAAATCAAACGTTTAGAACAGGGTAAACACGTTTTCAGAGTTAAAAAATTAGCATTCATCAGCTAGTTGACAAAGCTACCAGTCAACGATACCCCAAGAAGAAATCAAACATTTCAAAGAGTATCAAACAACGCAATTATCAGGGGCACACTCTACCATTGAGCCCATCATGCGGTGCCCCTATCATTGAGCTAATAGCCCATCGTGCGGGCCTCCCGATGGGGCTCAAGAGTTTAAAAAATTAGTTCTAAGACCACATAAGTAATTATCAAGCAAGAGTTCAAACCCAGAAGCTTCCAAAAGTTCATATCTACTCTAATACCATATTAGTGAAAAGCTTGATTTTATGTTTGTGATTTGGGTTTTTAGTTTTCACCTTGATGGATAGATTTTTCATATGAATTGGATAGTTTATTGTGTCCAAAATAGGAGTTGGTGGCCTCTGAGAAGGATACTCCCCCGTCTCTGAAAGTGATGCACAGATCCCAGCTGGCCTTTTCTTGACCTGCATCAAAACAAAAAAGCAAACGCCCACGCCACATCTTTCAAACTTACTTATCTTGTTTATAAACTTAAAATAATCAAACTAGAAGGTCAAGATTCAAATAATAATAACAAAATAAAAAAGTGAGAGGAACATTTTAGATGTAACTCTCTTAAAGAACAACATCAATGGAAAAGGTTTAGAAAAGCCATAATTTCCAATTTTCAATTGAAAAAGTCTACAAATTATTCTTTTCTTCTCACTAGGATTTTCATCAAACACCTGGTGGGCAGAATTTTTCAGTTTCCTTTTTCTAAACAATACCTGATTGACTCTTTTCTGAAAACGGAAGACCAATGGAAAAGGTGAAGAAAAGCCATAATTTCCAATTTTCAATTGAAGAAGTCTACAAATTATTCTTTTCTCTCACTAGGATTTTCATCAAACACTTGGTGGGCAGAATTTTCAATTCCCTTTTTCTAAACAATACCTGATTGACTCTTTTCTGAAAGCGGAAGACCAGATCCGTCCCCGATAAGAACCGAGAACCATCGTGTTCTTTCGCTGCAACTCGGCCGACATGAGCAGGAAACGTTAGCGTACAGAGAGCCATTAGAGCTCAAAAACCTCCAAAACTGGAAAATCAAACCACTCCAATCGCTTCAAGCAAAACCCTAGTGAAGAAATCCGAGAGAAATGCAAAAGAAAAATTAAGAAGCAATGCACTGATCTTCTACGTGTCTTGCAGAGAGTAAGTGAAGAAGAAATTGAATGAACTGTTTTTGCCACTAAAGGAAGTGATGAGTGAAAGTGGAACAATTAATTTAACGAAAAAAAGATGAAAAGGCGAATGAAAAGGCGAAGCGTGGGATGAAATGGAAGATAGAATTGAAAGTGGATGGGCAGTGAAGGGGACAACTTGAAGCCGTATTCGCTGGGTGTCTGCTTCGGAATTCGGTCTCTTTGTTCTTAAGCAGTGCGCCATTGCTCCACTCTGAAATGTCAGATCTTTTTCCTATTGGTCCACGTGGACGGAAATCATAAAATGGATATGTGGATAAAGATATCCCTTTGTAAATTATTTTTGCTAAATAAATGTAAATTTTTATATAAAAAAACTCAAAAAATTTTAAAATAAGCTTTTTATATGATAAGTTTCAAAAATATTATTTTTTAAAAAAATTAAAAATTTACGTTATTAATAATGATATCCTGATATTTAAAAAAAAAAAAATTAAATGCTTAGAGATATTTTTTATTTTGCTAGAACTAGATGGGTTTAGGCAAAGAGTTGTAGGCACGGTGGGGTTAAGAGTCATAGCCGTGGTTGGATTGTCATCTAGGTTTGGGAGGTAACTTCAAAGTTCGGTAATATTTTACTTTTTCGTTGATTCACGATCCTGGTTGCTAAATTAGTCTCCCTATGTAGAATAAAGTTCGCTTAACTATTATACCTTGTCTATTTTAACCTGTTGCATATCATCGTCAGTCTCACAATTTTAAAACGTATATGTTAGGGAGTGGTTTCCATACCCCTGTAAGAAATGCTCGTTCCTCTCTCCAACCGATACAAGATCTCATAATCCACCCCTTTAGGGGACTAGTGTCTTTATTGGCACACTACTCGGTTCCTAGCTCTAATATCATTTATAACAGCTCAAACTTACTGTTAGCAGATATTGTCCGCTTTCCCCTGTTATATATCATCGTCAATCTCACGGTTTTAAAATGCGTTTAATAGGGAGAGATTTCCACACACTAATAAGGAATGTTTGTTCATCTTTCCGACCGACGTGGGATCTCACAAATGTTTTGAAAACAAAGTTTAAACTTGAAATGTCAAAATGAAATTTTTTAAAACTCGGGATATAAGTTGAAACCTGTTGAGATATATTATTTATGGAATATATCTTAGATATTATATCTTATTATTCTTCCATTTATGATTTGATTTATAGTATATTTTATTTTATTCTCAGTATTTAATTATTTTATATTCTCATTTGTACTCGCTTGTATCCTATTTAAAGGATATCAATATCAATAATAATACACCTTCTCAATTCTATTTTCTATCTCATTCTTAACAAAACCAGCTTAACAGTTCCCGAGTTTTTTTTTTTAATAATCTAACCTAAATAAATCGTGTAACTAACATTTTTGAAGTCTACGCGGCACCTTTAACATAACTTTATAGAGAGGAAAAAATAATTAAAAAAACATTTTATGACAATTGACTTGAACGTTGAGCACTAGAAATTCTTTAAAAATTCTATGGCTATTAAGGAGCATCCATCTCAATCAAAAGAGAACCGTAATCTTATTCTTTGAAAATTATAATATATTCAGTTGCTGCTCCCTCCATCAAATTAATACGTCATTTTTATTCATCCATGAAAAAATTTAAAAAAAAATAATAATTTCGTTTATTTTGACCTCCTATATTTAATTAAAACTCAATTTTTATGAATTATTTAACTAAAAATCTATTATAGAGATTAATATTTCAATAAATTGTATATTTATTTCTAATATTAATTAACCTATATAATTAGTTTGATATTCTACTCCACATAATTCAAAATTTTCAATTATTTTTTATATTAATTTAAAAATTAAACTATAATTTTAGTTCCTAAACTTTAAAATTTGTGACTATTCAACGTAAAATTTAAATTTATATGAAACACTTAAAATTTGTTAAAGAACTATTAGACATAAAATTCAAAATATATTAGACCCATTTAAAAATTTAGAGAATAAATAGACATGAAACTCGGAATTTATTAACCATTAAGAGTCAAAAATTTAAGTTGCTAGACCCTTAGCAGATGAGTCTAAGTTGCTAGAAGCTTAATAGATGAGTAGAGAGAGCTGACTAGAAGATATCAAGGGGCAAACGATTCGTAGCCATAGAATTTGATGCACAAAAATCATGCTTTGATGAGCCACAGGAGAGACTAGCAATGTGAAACATGAGTCTAAACATTTGGAAGAAGAATAGGTCCAAGTTACAAGGATGGTCTTTACTTCCTCCCTCCTTTCACTTCATTTTCGCTTCTGTAAACAAGACATGTCGATTGACCCGAGGATCGTATTTTCGGAACTCGAGCTTCTCTGTTATTTTGGTTGGCTTTCGTTTGACGTAGAAGAATCCAGTCCCAGCAGCTGATACGAGTCGTATGAACATTGTAGCTTTCTTTTTCTTGTCACCCATTTCCTAACAAACACACCAAAAAGAGGGGAAAAAATCCATCAAGTCATTTTGAAAGCTAGCTCTTGATGTGCTATAATATAGAATTATCATGAAGAGAATGAATATAAGGAAACAAGTTGATGCAGAGCTATTTGCAATTAAACCATGCTGATAAAAATGTAACAACCCAAGCCCGCAAGGTTTTAAAATGCGTTAGAGAGAGGTTTTCACACAGTTTTAAAAAATGTTCCGTTCTCCTCCCCGACTGATGTGGGATCTCACAATCCACTCCCCTTCGAGGTCCGGTGTCCTTGCTGGCACTTGTTCCTTTCTCTAATCAATATGGGACCCCTCAGTCCACCCCCTTCGAGGCCTAGCATCCTTGCTGGCACACCACCTCGTGTCCACCCCCCTTCGAGGCTCAGGCTCCTCGCTGGCACATCGCTGGTGTCTGGCTCTGATCCCTTTTGTAACAGCCCAAGCCTACCGCTAACACATATTGTCCTTTTTGGACTTTCCCTTCTGAGCGTCCCCTCAAGGTTCTAAAATGAGTCCACTAAGAAAAGATTTCCACACCCTTATAAAGAATGTTTCGTTCCCCTCTCCAACCAACATGGGATCTCACAAGAAATGTTTAATAGGTCTCCTCGAATCTTCAACATATTAAAAATTTTTAAAAATTAATTGATTTAATAGATATAAAATTGATTTCTATGTCTAAAGGAACCCTAAGCTTTCAATATTGTATATTGTATCTATGCCCCTGAATAGACATGGAATAATTAAAGAACCTATCATACACAAAATTGAAAGTATAAAAACCTATTAAACACTTTTTAAAGTTTCAGGGTAATTAACAAATGAGTTAGATAATTTTTGAAGTTTAATGGTCAAATCAACACAAAATTGAAATTTCGGGACAAACTCATAACTTTAACCTTTAATCTTTTACCAATATTTACGGTGGCCACATGAATCACAACTTAGTACACCTATACGAAGTCTACTGGTCTCTGAATCAAAAGCAATCCGAAAGACTCCTTTGAAAGATAATTACAAGCATAAAAACAACAAAGAAACCATCCATTTTTAGCAGATGGAACGTGAGAACCTATTAGAGTGACTACTTCCAATACTTTGGATGTGTGTGTGAGAGAGAGAGAGAGAGAGAGAGGCAAAAGTATAGAACAAGTATCACAAATTAGTCCAACGACCCCGTTAGGAATCACGAATCTCCACAATGGTATGAAACCTTCACAATGGTATGATATTGTCCACTTTGAACATTAGCTCTCATGGCTTTGCTTTTGGTTTCTCCAAAAGACCTCATACCAATGAAGATGTATTCCTTACTTATAAACCCATGATCAACCCCTTAATTAGCCGATGTGGGACTCCTCTCCCAACAATTCTCAACAATCCTTCCCTCGAACAAAGTACACAGCATAAAGCCTCCCCTGAGGCCTATGGAGCCCTAAAACAATCTCCCCCTAATCGAGGCTCGACTCCTTCTCTAGAGCCCTTGAACAAAATACACCCTTTGTTCAGACAATTGAGTCACTTTTAACTACACCTTCGAGGCTCACGACTTATTTATTCGACATTTGAGGATTCTATTGATATAGCTAAGTTAAGGGCATGACTCTAATACCATGTTAGGAATCGTGAACCTCCACAATGGCATGATATTGTCCACTGAACATTAGCTCTCATGATTTTGCTTTTGGTTTCTCCAAACAGCCTCATACCAATGGTGATGTATTCTTTACTTATAAACCCATGATCAACCCCTTAATTAGTCGATGTAGGACTCCTCTCCCAACAATCCTCTACGACCTAGACCCAAAATCTTCTGCATAAGCTGTCCTGTTAGAGTATATCTAATGATTTAAATATCTTTCAACACTTTCCTAAACGTTCGTATTCAAAGAATTAATTTGTTTCACAAAACATAACAAGTGAGAAATGACACTACAAGAGTTCCTTGTAAATCATTATTAGTCTCAAAAAATTGGGCTAATAAGTTAATATATCCTTAACCTAACTATACCAGTTTCATGATTTCAGCCTCAAAAGCAAATCCGAAAAGGCAAAATCTGATTCAAGAACATCAGATGCAGGAAAACCAACATTCATAGGCTACGTAGTATACATTTCTAAGATAACATTCTCCTAAACAGTCACTTGGTAATTGAATTTCTTCCACACGAACGTAAACGTACTTAAACTGAAAACAACTTCTGAAGCGACCTTCAACATTCAATAAACAGATCGAAATTGCAAATCTACGAAAACGACTCCAGAAAGCACATAATTTGGTCGAAAGATTGCGGAGTTGTGTTTCATTCAGCAATTTAACAATAAAACAAGAAGCAGGAATCAATGGTATGAAAGATAAAAAGGAGATTAGAAGATAGAAAAGATCGAAAAAAGTAAGAGACTTACTACAGTTCGAAGAAGCTGTGAAGAAGCTGTGAAGAACCCTAGAACGGAAGTGCAAGCAGAAGCAGAGTATGTATTTAATTATCCAAGCGCCGGGAAAAAAGAAGTAATTACATTTTCCTTCAGAAATAAATAAATAAATAGAATGTCTCTCATGAACTTAAAAATAGAGAAATTATTGAAATTGAATAAAAAAAAACGAAATAATTTTGCAACTGAATATATTATGAAAGACATAAATGCCCTCTGATCAGAGTCAAATTACAACTCTGTCTTCCTGTCGTTCCCGTGTAAGTTAGCATTTCTAACCCTAATACTCTGCTATCTCCTTACTCGGTCTGATCTGCATTTCTCTCAGATTCTCACTCTTAGTTTACGGAACCCGACTCAGTGGATTGAAAGGTTTGAAATTTTCGAATTCAGAAACGATCTTTTTTTCTTCTGTTTCTTTAGAATTTTTTTGTTGGAACGAGGGTCAATTCGGTTGTTTGATCAGGAGTCAGTTTACTTTTATGCCATGATTTGTATGCAAAATTATCTCTATTATGTTGTTCGCGATGATATCACGCTAAATTATCTCTATTATGTTGTTTTTTTTTTTTTTTTGGAATTAGGAATTGATCGAATTAGAGATGGCGAGCGCAGTAGATGCTGCTGGAGATCCAATTCCTACATCGGCGGTGCTAATGTCCTCGTCAAAGCACATTGCGAACATGTGTCGATCGGAGAATGTGGCATACCTCCAGTGCAAAAGGAAGGATCCGAACCCGGAGAAATGCCTCGACAAAGGCCAACAAGTCACTCGCTGCGTCCTCTCTCTGTAAGCGAATATCATTTTGTTATTTTCTTAGCCGAAGTATGGATTCGACATTATTCATCTGGTCTGGTTTCCATGGTTGCTTGTTGTCCTTCGGATTGCTCCTGAAAATTGCTATAGTTATCATATGATCGTCTTCTGATCTGCGAGCAAATATGAGATTAAGAAATGCGTTTCTTCAGTAATCATACGATCGTCTTCTGTTCCGCTGGCAAATAGTGTAATAGGAAACTTGAAAAAAAAGTAATGGGTATTTCATAGGGTTGACATAAAATATTAGTACAGGTAGTGATAAAATCTTAGGTTGATAATCTTGTATCTGACTAAATTGATAGTGTGCATGGTCTCCGTTTGAGGTCACCCGTTGACATCTCAGCCCCATAAGCTCAGGTGCACGGTGGAAATAATACACTGTGGAGGTCTTCCACCTTTACAAGGCACGGTGGAAATAATGGATTTGGCGGTGGAGTTGGGCTGCAGAGTGTATAATCTTCCCATAAATTACCTTGGTTTTTCACTCGGTGGTAACCATCGCTCCTTCTCTTTTTTGGGAATTGTTAGTTGACAAGTTCAAAGCAAAGATTGCCAAGTGGAAAGGCTTCTTGCTTTCAGGGGATGCCTAACCTTGATACATTTCGTGCATGATGGGCTGCCACTGTATTATTATTTTTTTCTCTCCTCAAAGCTCTGCTAGGTAATATCAATAGTATGGAGAGTGGGCCAGAGATTGTTTTTTGAGTGATGGTGATTACAAGGCCGGTAGCCATTTGGTTAGGTGGAAGATCACCTCTCTCCCCCTTTGCAACGGTGGTTTGGGGATAGGGTCTCTTAGAAACAAAATTCTTGCTCATCTCTCCAAATGGCTATGGAGATTCTCAACAAAGACAAAGGCCTATAGAGGAAAGTGGTATAGGAGATGGAGATCGAAATAGGAGGCGGGGAAGGCTTCCCCTTCCCCGCCCCGCCTCGCCCCATGGTCATCTCTATCTTATATTGTTCTAGATACTAATGTTTTAGATATTGTTGATAACAACGAGTGGTTGGTCCATTCTTTGAGTGATTTTTCTCGTAAATCCTTCTTTTGTTGCCTATTGGACCCTTCTCCCGTTAGTGAGTATGTCTTTTGTACTCTTCGGAGGAAAATATTCTAAAGAAGGTTATGTTATTTTTTACACGGACGAGCTAACACTCTGGATTGACTTTCAAGGAGGTTTTACTCTTTAGTTGGCTTGTTTTGTTGCATTCTCTATCTGAAGGCGGAGGATGACCTGGATCATTTTCTTTAGAGATATGAGATTGTGAGATCCATTTGGAGTTGCTTCTTCCAAACTTTGGTTTCATGCTCGCACGTCATAGGGATACTAGCGATAGGATTGGGGAGTTCCTCCTTCATCTGCCTTTTCATGAAAATGGTCGGTTTTTAAGGCTTGTCAGAGTGTGCTATTTTGTGAGATATTTGAGGTGAGAAATAATAGAGGGTTTAGAGGTATGGAGACGGATCCTTCGGATGATTGATCCCTCGTGAGTCTTCATGTTTCTCTTTAGGCTTTGATTTCGAAGATCTTTTGTAATTATTCTATAGCTTTTATCTTGCACAAATGGAGCCCTTTCTTTTCGAGGTATTATCTTTTTATATGTCCTTGTAGTCTTTCATTCACTCTCAATGAAAGTTGTTTCATACAAAAAAAAAACTTCATATTTTACGAAGAAAGATTATCTAAATTTTGAGATGATTGTATAATTGCTGTTTATGGTGTTAATTCAAGGATACACCGATGGAAATCTTGTGGCCTAGTAATAGGTGGCCTAGTAATAGGTGGCCTGAATAGATTAAGCTAACTTCTATCTAAAGAATTAGCTTGTTTAATCAAGATCATTTCGTGGACCACGAGAGGATTACATGCCTTTCTTCCCAATGCAGGCCAAAATTTGCCACGAGATTTAGAAGAAAATGTTAATTTCCTTTGGGGGAAGAATGTAGTTTGGCAACTAGCTCCCCCTTTTTATGGGTTTTGAATTCTGAAGTTATAAGATTATGGCCATTCTTAACTGTTTTTTTCGTTCTTTGGGAAAAAAAAAAGTGGTGGCCAGCATTCCGGGTTTTCATCTCTTTAATGGCATTTGACTTGTTTTCCTTGTATGACAAAAGAACGATGAATGTCACAACTCTCTATCTATGATAAGGGAGTCTGATTATAGGACTGGGATGATGGATATGCATTTTTTTTGTTGTTAATTGGACCCCTCCCCTGCTAGAGATTTTGTGTGCTCGACTCTCTAGAAGATCAAGATTTCAAAGAAAGTTAAGTTTTTTATTTGATAGGTTATCTTTGATCGAGTTATCACTCTAGATCGATTCTTGAGAAAGTGGCCTTCGTTTATTGACCCGTTTTGTTGTGTCCTCTGTCAGAAGGTGGAGGGCACACCCAAGGGCGCATAGAGTATGGTAGTACCTTGATAATATTTTTTTAGAGATGTGACTTCGTGCACTTGATGTAGAGTTATCTTTTGGAGGCGTTCGACTTTCAGTTAGACCACCATAGAGACCCAAATGAGATTATTAGAGACCCAAATGAGAGTATTGAGGAGTTTCTTCTCCATCCACCTTTTAGGAAGAGAGGTGATATTAGCTTAATCTAGAATTACAAAAAAAAAAAAAAAAAAAAAAAAAAAAAAAAAAAAAAAAAAAAAAAAAAAAAAAAAA